TTTTTTTTTTTATTATTTCTTCACAGCGTCGATCTTTGGTTGTGCCTTTAGAAGAATATTCCAGAACAAAAGACGCCAAGGATCGAATGCGTGATGTTAAGCAGGATCCATCCTTCGAGGCTTTTTTGGGATGGACGGAACCCCTTGATGTTATAAGGTAAGATGCCTAGTTTGTGGATTCAATGATCGACACAGAGCCCATGTATTTAATTTAAGTATCTAATTTTGTGGACAGTTTGAAGGGGAACGTTGTGCATCCTGTTCGGTTACTGGAATGATAAAGAGTTCGATCGTATATTGACCGAGACAAGAGACAATTCTTGTAGACTTAGACTGGCTGCCAGAGAGCGTGATTGGACTCATGTTGATACGATTATTGATATTCATTACCCAGCTAATCTTAATGTAAGAGTATATATCATTTTGTTGTCTCATTCAGTAATTACCCACTCTGTTAATCTTAACGTAGGAGTATATATCATTTTGTTATAATTTTTTAGTTGGAACTAGTCAAGATGTTTTTGAAGTAATGTTATTTTTAAATATGCAGGGCCTGAAACAAGCCAACTGAAACAAGCGTTGGCTGACAAATACGGTGTGGAGTCTTATTTTTTTAAGACTGCTGACGGTATATGATTTGACGAATCGACTTATTTTATCTTCGGCATCATATATGTGGTTCTGTGTCCATATTTTATTTTTTTTTCGTGCACGAAACATGTGATTTGTTTTGTGGTTTATGCTGCAGATTGAGGGAAACAAAGCTTATTTTGAGAAGAGGGTCACCCCATCCATTCACTTGTTAGGTAGTGGTGCAAAGGGCCATGAGATTGACTGCATGCTAGTTAAGTGGTGTGTTGATCACATCTTTTATTTGTTTGACATTGGTATTCACGTTATCTTTTAGTTCAAAGTATGTATGGTTTTGTATTTAAATTGCTGGTAGTAAGATATATATGGTTTGGCTCTGTGGGAAAAATGGAAAGCACTCAGTGGCTGCCTCATATGATTATCTGGTGAATGAGAAATGGAAACAACTTGATATAGCAGAACCAAGTAAAAGGCAAGTTGAAGTCATGAAGATGAGGAAGAGGATGTGGAAACTGAATATCAAAGGGAAGATTAAGCACTTCCTTTGGAAGTGTGTGAATAACATTTTGCCAGTCAACACTTGCATTGCAAAGAGGGGAATTCATATTGATGCCAGATGCCAACTATGTGGAGAGGAGCCTGAAACAGTCTACCACATGTTCTTCACTTGTCCTAAGACCATATTGATCTGGAAGCTGGCACGTGGCTTAGATCTCCATGCTGAAAGTTTTTCTCATTGGTGGACCAACTTATGCTCTATCCCTATGACAACAAACAATGAGGCTAGAATTCAGCTCACAGCTTACTTACTTTGGTGGATTTGGAAAGCAAGGAACTTGTGGGTTTTCCAAGGCTTATGGAGAGCAGAGCTGGCTGTGGTGAATGTAGCTGTGGAAGAGTGGCTGGAATTCATCAATGTGCAGAGCCTTAGAGTCTGATATAGCTGGTTGGGTTGTTCTGCTTTAGTTGTTAATAGTTTTGTTTAATTTGCTTTTTGTTGGGTTGCTTTAGTCTAGGCCTGTTTTGAGTAGCTAGTTGCCTTTTGCTGTAGTAGTTTGTGGCAGTAGTGCTGGTTAGTGGTAGTCCAGCTTGGCTAGGGTGTGTGCCAGTGGTCAAGCTGTTTTTGCTTTTGATTAGATAGGATCAAGTCCATGGGTTCTATGTTGGAATATGCCATGGATTTTGATCCCTTCTATTGGTTGTTATTTTTAACAGATTTGTTCTGCCAAGCAGTCATTGGGCTATTTAGCCCCACCTCATGTACAAATGTTTGGAGCTATAAAACCTATTGTTTCGAAAAAAAAAAAAAGTAAGATATATATGGTTATGAGAAACTGCTTTCTTATTATAAAGGTGTCTTGCAATATCCTACAATGGTCCTACTTTGTATTTTTGTGCTTATTTTAGATATTACAAAGATACATCAAATGTTATTAAAAATTAAATCCTATGTGAAATAAAAACATTTTCTTGCTCTGCAATATATGCAAATAATTATTCAATTGAATTTTCAAAAAAAAAAAAAAAAAAAAGGGACGAAATCAGCATGCAATAATTCCCTACAATATGTGATCTCCATATCTATTTCCCCAACGTTAGCTCATATCTATATTCTGAATTCCCTACAATATGTGAAGATCCGGAATTTGAGACCCATCGAGATGAGTCCCATTTGGAACTTGAGGGGTGGGAGAGTCTCTTGCTTTCTCTCCTCAAAGTCAAAGAGGAAGCGAGAGCCTTGAACAAGTCTTGTAAACATTCACTAAGCTTTCTTTCAAACGGAAACGGAAAGAGCACGAGATTACTGGCATTGTGGGTGGGATAATCTTTCTTTGACTAGATCGTGAGTATCGAAGCGATCGGGGAAAGGGGAACTACCCAGAATCTTACTGTGTTGGAATGGATTGGATGTCAAAAAGTTCCAAGCACGGGCCTCAGTTGGTAGGTTTATCATCTGCAAGGTGGAATCCTGAAATATGTAGAAGAAGTCCCGAAGACAGAGTGCCTTTGGGAGGGAGAGTGTTTTGTGTTTGATAAACGGGTCTCAGTTGAGCACGGGCTCATGCAGGGGACTCACAAGCTGTGTTACGGGTTCAAGAAACCCGTGAGTGATGCTTACACTGATTCAACAGAATGGGAGTACGCAGTTTCTTGCCCGTATTGCTACATATCTAAATCAAAGGAGGAGAAAGAGAGAGAAAGAGCTAGACAAAGGCAGTTTGAGACGTGGGGTATTATTGGCGGGCCGAATAAAACAGGGAAAAAAAACAAAAAAGTTGATAAGCAGATGTTGAATTCAATCTGAGATTAGTTTGGCGCTTTGAGAGGCTCCTGGCGGCATACGATCTGTATGGCAGCAAATGGGCGCTGATTGTCTGCCTGATACGGCTGTCATTGTTTGCATAGCCCGTTCAGCCAAGATTATTTTGGTATATTTGGGGTACAAAATTGGCTTTTAACCTTCTTTTTGTATGTATATATGATATATCACATACGGTTTCTCTGTTTGAATTAATTTCTGCAGAAGTTGGGTATTTTAAAGCTTGGTCTTTTTAGTTGCCGTGTTGAAATTTTGGTGGACTTCTATATCTGGAATAACAATTTTTCCATTATTTATCTGATGCAGTTAAGCTTATTGTTTGTGAAGGATACTTTCTTTGCTTTATTTATTTATTGTTTTTTTTTTTGGTTATGAAATCCAGCTATTCATACAACACCATATAAATTATCTATTATTTGATTTTGCAGGTAAATATTCATGTTCTGGTACTTGTTGTGATATAAAGCTCTATGCAAAGATATCATCCTTAAACGACAAATGGATTTCTTGGAGCCGAGAAGGAAGGTGTTGGAGCCGAGAAGGAAGATGGTGACAGAGAGGCTGGCTGCTGCAGCCTGATGGGTCACCGGCGAGGCTGGACGTGATTTTAAGTGGAGCACGACTACCAGTTAGAGGGTACAAATCAGATTTCTGAAACCTTACAACGTGATTAGTTTTATAAATTGATTTTACGTTTCTTTTAGCAATCGGTCAACTCGCATCAATTCATGGTTACTTCTCAAAATTACTCCAGGAAAAAATTATTCAAACAAAATGTGTAAGTAGACTGACCTTCCAGTTCTAGGCACAAACTGCTTTGTCTCCTTGATAAGATCTTCGGTAAGCAAAGGTGGTTCCTATGAATTTAACATATATATAAGACATTAAAACTGATCATAATATCCTAAGCTTATGTAAACCGACCAACCCTGCAAAACAAGTGAATAAACAAAGCTTATTGGAGACTTTTGCTAAACTGCAGGTAATACTAGATACTGGATGTGAGGATTTGGTTCTGAAAATGTTTAGAAGCTTCTTTAATGTTTTGAGGTATGTTTTTTGTATCCAACATTCTGTCTTAATATTTTGTTATTGTTATTTCCTCATATCTTATTTTATGCTTTTTACTACAACGAAAAAATATACTAGCATCAATTTCTTGCCATTAAAACATCACAGACTGACTGTAGAAATGAAACCTGTAAAAGAAACTTATTGTATTTATTGAAGTACATATACAAAACGTAATTCCTCTTGCTTGTTTGTTGGATTTAGTGATTGTATAACAAATGAAATAATACTTGATATCAGACACTTGTAAAGTTGTAATGTTTGTCCTAATTGTTGAATATATTGCTTTTGTCTAAGCTAGGCTTTGTTTCCTGCACTTGTAATGCTTATCCTAATTCTTGAATATATTGCTATTGTATCTGATGCTAAGTTCCACTAGATCTTTTTCTTTATGATTTCTTTGGAATTCATATTTGAGCAAACAAACCAATATTTAGACATACTGAAGGAAATAAAACATTAAGGAAATGCTATTGTTCGGACTTTATTAATTCAGACACACATACACAACTTATCCCTTCATTTTTATCTTTCCTCAACAATTTGTTAGAAAAGAACAAATAAAAAGATAAAAAACAAAACCTTGTTATCAAACAAAAGACCAAACCGTTTTTTGTAAACAAGAAATATTTAAATAAAATAAAATTAAATTGGCGCAAGAAAATGGGGATGGCAGCTGTAGAAGCTCAGTTTCATGTGCTGGTTTTGGATGATAGATTGATTTACAGGAAACTGATGTACATATTGCTTAAGACCTCTTCTTATCATGGTATTTTTACATTTATTTAATTTTTATTTTTCCCCAATAATAATTATTATGTCTTCTTTTAGTAATTTGTAAAATTTGATTGTTGTATAGTTGATTTTGATTCTGGTAACAAAGCTTTGGAATTTCATGCTTGGTCTAACTCTAATGAAACTTTTGATTCTCCCAAAAATAACAGGTAATTTTTGTCTGTCTCTGTGTGTGTATGTGTGTGTGTGTGTGTCTGTATTTTCATTCTTTTGTTGATTTTTTTCGTTATTGTTGTTTATGCCCTGCATTGTAATCGTCTCTCTGCTTTTGTTATTTTCTGTTTATTTTTTTGTAATAAATTTTATGTTGTTTGCAAAAGGTTCAAGTAAACTTGTTATTACAAATGCGTGGGATTACAGGCTATGATTTGCTAAAAAAA